AGAAGATGTGGTTTTTTTATAAAATGGAGTACTACTCAGCCATAAAGAATGAGAAACTAGAGACATTTATAGCTAAATGGATGCATATTGAAGCCATACTCTTAAGTGAAATAAATAGGACACACATGTGTAAATACCAAATAATTTCTCTGGTGTGAGTAACTGAAAGTGTAAATAAGGGTTAAAGTGATTAAAATGAACAACTGATAATTTGAAATAGGAAGAAATGGTCCAAAGGAGTAGGGGAAGTGGGAGGGGAAGGGGAAAGGAAAGAAAAAATTATGAGAAAAGGAAAAAATAGAAACAAAGTCTATGAAAATAGGGAAGGGTGGAGGGGATAAAGGGAGGACAGGGAATGGGTAAAAAACAAGAACCAAGATACATCATGTACAGGTACAAGCACCCAATGGTAAATGTAAACATATTGTAATCCTAAAATGTACCAATAAAAGAATTTAAGCAAAAAAAAAAAAAATCATCTGTGAGTACTGTTTAGAAAGAAATGGCGAGTACTGTGTTCCATCAGACTAACAAAATGAAAGAGAAAGAAGCCACACACTGGCTGGAGGTCCTTTTAAAACTGTTCCTCCCATCATTCTGGGAGGCTGAGGCAGAAGCACTGCAAGTTCCAACCCAGCTTGGGCAATTTAGGAATTTGGCAAGACCCTGTCTCAAGATAAAAAACAAAAAAGTGCTGAGGATCTAGCTCAGTTCAAAGGCCCTCAGTTCAATCACCAGGACTGCGAATAAATAAACTATGTGGGAAGGACCACATGTGATCAACTCAACAGAAAAAGCATTTGATAATACCCAACAATCCTTCCTGACAAAGCACTCAAGGCAATAGGAGTAAAAGGGAACTTCCTTGACCAGATAAGAAAATACCAATGAAAAGCCCATAGTTTACAGCTAATGGTGAAAGATCCAGTGTTTCCTGAAAATTAGGAACAAGACAAGGATGTCTGCTCTCATCACTTCTATTCATTACTGTCCAAGAGGTTCCAGCCAGGACAATGAAGTAAAACTATCTCACTATCTCTGCTTCTATTCATAGATCTTAGGGATAGAAAACCCTGAAGAAGCCACACACAAAAGCAACTGCTAAAGCTAATAAATAACCAAACATGGTTGCATATACACACCTGTAATCCCACCTACTTGGTAGGCTGAGGCAGGAGGAATCACAAGTTCAAGTACAGCCTGGGCGATTTAGGGAGACTCCATCTCAGAACAAAAGAAAATTTTAGAGAACTAGAAGTCAGGCTGGTGATGAATGCCTATAATCCTAGCACTCTGGGAGGCTGAGGCAGGAGGATTACAAATTCAAGCCCAGCCTGGGAAACTTAGTGACTTAGAGAGACCCTGTCTCAAAATAAAAACTAAAAAAATTTGAAAATATGACTCAGTGAGGAGGCGCCAGGTCAATCCTCAGTACAAAAAAAGAAAGAAAAGACAGAAACTGAACATCCATAATGTATCAAAATAAAAAGGCTGTTTCTCTATGTCCTGTCCTCAACAAGGTCTGTGTTACATCAAAGTATGAAGCTCATTTTAGTGAAAAATGCTTTCATATAAGAAAGTTTTGAATTTTTTCCACCCTCTCCCCGCAAAAGCTTTGGGCCCTGACGTAGACAAGGAAATTTTTTTTAAGTGGCACTAATTTCACACAAACCTCAAGACTATAACTAACTGTACATCCCGTCTGATTCACTTTTTAAACATGTAGCATTCATTTATCTATATCAAATCAGTAGACTGAATTTTCTCCCCTAGGAAGTTTTCAACTAGATAGGAGTCAAATTAATCTTACTGTTCTATTTGTTTCTGGACTTGGGGGTGTTGTTTTGTTTTTTGAGGCAAGATCTCCTCTGTAGTCTAGGTCACAATGTAGCCCAAGCTGGCCTAGAACTTTCAGTGATCCTCCTGCCTCGGTCTCCCTCAAGTGCTAGGATTATAGGTGGCTGCCACCATGCCTGGCTTCACTTACTTTCTTTTGCTGTGCAGTTCTGAGGATAAAACTCAGATCCTCAGGCATGATTTAATCTCACTTTAAAGTACGAGAAAGAAAATGCAAGACCAGGTTTGCTGTGGGACATATAAAAGAGATGCAGACTTCCTCGGTACTGGGCCAAGAAATAGCCCAGGAAGAGCAGGCTGCAGGACATGGTGACCCAATCAGGCCGCCAAGAAGTAAGGAGATTCCAGATTCAGCCTAGAAAGTGGGGTCCCTGCCCAGCCTGGCTTTAACTGCACCCAGATCTCAAATCGGTCTCTAGTCCCCTATGAGTGAGGCTGGATGGAGTACAGGCCTGGCACAGCCAAGCCAAAGCCCTCTAGTCAGCAGGCGCCTCTATGCCATAGCTGGTCAGTGTTCATGTGGACAGTGGTAAAAGAATTGATTGAAAAGCCGAGGAGTACTGGGCATGGTGGAGCAGACAGACCTACAAGCCCAGCACTCAGGAGGCTGAGGCAGGAGGATCACTGAGAGTTCAAGGCAAGCCTAGAATACATAGCAAGTCCTTGTCTCAAAAAAAAGTGCACACATACACACACATACACACACACACACACACACACACAAGCTTAGAAGAAGCCTGGCATGGTGGCACACCTATAATCCCAGCACTTGGGAGGCTGAGGCAGGAGGATTGCAAATTTAAGACCAACCTGGATTACATAATGAGAGCTTGTCTTTAAAAAAAAAATGCTGACAAGGTCAGGGATTTAGCTCAGTGATTCTGCCACCTGCCTCAAAAGCACAAGGTCCCAAGTTTGATATACGGTACCAAAAAAAAAAAAAAATGCTGAGGATTTGGAACAGCACAAACATTGCTTACCTCGTAAGCACTAAGTGAAGTTCTTGCCCAGGATAAATCATACAAGAATAAATAATGAAGCCCCCCAAACATCAGTGCTGAGATTATCTAGTCCAACTTGAAAGCAATACAAAAGGACGTGCTCCACACTAATATTTCTTAAAAATCAATTATCAGAGCGCATGCTTAGTATGCATGATGCCCTGAATTAAATCCCCAGCACACA